GCCATTGCACTCCAGCCTGGGTAACAAGAGTGAAACGCTGTCTCAAATAAATAAATAAATAAATAAATAAATAAAAGAACCCTAAGTTCCACTTCTCACCACCTCCCCAGACCCAAGCCGCTGTCTTCCCTTACCTGGATGATGGCAGCCATCTTCTACTTGGTCTCTCAGCTTCTGACCTTTTTCCCTTCCTCTTTTTTCAACAGAGTAGCCAGACTAATCCTATTTAAATGTAAATCAGTGCCTGCCATTCTCCTGCTAAAACCTCACGATGCCGTGTGTCTCCACCTAGAGTCAACACCTGTGTCCTTTGCCTGGCTCCCAAGGCCCCTTGGGATTTGACCACTTCTTACCTCTGGGATTTTCTCCCCAAAACTCCCCCTCCAGCCTCACATTCCTTGATCACACCAACATAGGCCCCCCCACCTCCACTCCAGACCTTTACACTTGCTGTGTTCTCTGCCCGGCATTCTCTCCTCCCGGATGTCCATGGGCAAGACTTGCTCCCTCACCGCTTTCCAGACGTTACTCAAATGTCGCCTTCTCAGTGAGGGCCTCCTTCCCCGCTATTTAAATCCCATTACGCTCTCTGCTCTCTTAGCCCCTCTTAGCCCCTTTCCCTGTAGCATTTTTCTCTACGGCACCTTTTATCACCTAACATTTCACTGTACTTCATAGATTCTAGGGTACGTGTTATCTTCAAATTTTATTTCTGAAATCAAGATGTACTTTGTACTAGATGACAGGTTGCAGTTTAATTAGCAACTATTTCTCTTTCTTAGTGCACAAAATAATGGTACGCTTTTAAATTGATAGCATCTTAGATTCGATGAAACACAGTATGGAGTTGACCTATTGAGCTGTTATCTGATTCCCCTAGACTCGAATATAAGGTCATGGGGCAGGAATATGTATCCGCCTTCAATTCTGCTGTCTCTGCAGCACGCAGAACAGTGCCTGGTACATAAGACTTCTCAGCAGATTTGTGTGTGTTGAACAAATGAATGAATGAATGAATGCGTAAATGCCCTCAAAATTGCATCTGGTTTCATGAGTTGATTGGCTTGAAACCAGTGTCTGGAGGTTCCATTCCTTCCTTTCTCGTTTAGGTTTTCATGTAGGTTGACTCTTCGAGGTGGTGGACAGCGAGGTAGACAATATTCACCCTGTGAGACGGCCCCAGATAAATGATGTATCTTATTAGAATTCATCATAATCTGCTGGAGGTGCCACACCTCAAAGCTGTGATCCTGGTCCTTCCCCCTCGTGCCTCACCATGGCCTGGCATGTTCTACACTGTAATAGCCAACACAGCTGTCTATCTCCCTGGAGACCATGAGCCTTTTGGGGGAAGAATCAAGTCTTACATGCTTATGTGGCTCCAGAGTCTGCGAAGGGCTTAGGGAGTTGTTACTGAATTAATAAATGAGCAATAGACAAACATTTGTATATATGTACCTTTATTCTGCGTGCCTGAAATGTGACAAGCATTTAATTCACTCTGATCCTCCCAATAGGCCGGTAGGTAGGAGTTATTTTCCCTGTTTTCCAGATGAGGAAGCTGGTGCTAAACAAGTGAGGTGTCATCATCGTGCTTGCTTCCTCTCCCTACTCAACTCTGTGCTTTCAGAAATACCTTTCACTGCCCCAGACCTACCACAGCCCTGCCATGTTCCCGTGCATCCTGTTGGAAGGAAGAATTGGAAGCATCCCAGGTGGACTGCAGAGCCCCCTCCTGGTCCTAGGCACCCTCCTGAGCCATTGCTTGGTGATCTGGTTTGGCTGTGTCCCCACCCAAATCTCATCTTGAAGTGTAGCCCTCATAATTCCCATGTGTTGTGGGAGGGACCTGGTGGGAGGTAATTGAATCATGGGGACGGTTATCCCCATTCTGCTGTTCTCATAATGAGTGAATTCTCACAAGATCTGACGATTTTATAAGGGGCTTTTCCCACTTTTGATCAGCACTTCTCCTTGCTGCTGCCACGTGAAGAAGGATGTGTTTGCTTTCCCTTCTGCCATGATTATAAGTTTCTTGAGGCTTCCCCAGCCATGCTGAACTGAGTCAACTCAACCTTTTTCTTTTATAAATCACTCAGTCTCAGATATATGTTTATTAGTAGCATGAGAACAGATTAATACACTTGGCTACAGGTCCACTTTGCAAACTGGCATTTGGTATTTGTACCACCCATCGGCACAGAGTCTGGGTAGCCCCTTCCACCCACCCACACTGGTATGTTAGGGAAAGTGAGGTGACCACCCTCCCAAACCTGACGAGGGCTCATTTTTGGACATGTTGAAACAAGCCTCTGAGGAATGATTAATTAGTTTGTAGTAATTTCTAGGAAGGATGTAAGGAAAACAAAACAGTAAAAATATTAAGTCAATTGAAATAATTCCCTTCTCTGTGAGCTTATATTCAGTCAGGTTAGTTTGTTATAGTTTGTTTTTATTTTAAGGGATATATTTGCATGATTCAAAGAAAAATTCTACGGAAAGGTTTACTGAAGAGAAATCCTGCTCTTTCCCCACCCCGGTCCCACCACCTATCCTATATAGGTGACCACTTTGCTTAGCTTCTTTTTCATCTTTCCATTATTTCTTGTGTACATATGATCATGTTCACTCCCCCTCACACCTCAAACATGAGGCAATATATAGATAGACTAGCTATACTTATCCCCCCCTCTTTCTTGCACAAAAGGTAGCATATTATATATTCTTTTCTGTACCATGCTATTTTTTCCCTTAACAGTATAGCCTGGCCATCTCTCTGCATCAGTATAAAGAGATCTTCCTCTTTTTTACATGGCTATATAATATTCCATTGTATAGATGGATTATAGTTCATTCAGTCTGTTCCCTGTTGGCCGGACCTTTGGGTTGTTTAAAATCCTTCACGATTACAAAGAAGGTCAGAATGAAGACTCTTGTTTGTGGGTCATTTTGCACTTGTGCAGGTTTCTGCAGGTGTACTGTGGGATAGATAGCTACAAGGAGAATTACTTGGTCAAAGGGTAAAATGCATTTATATTTTTGCTAGTTATGACTAAATTCCTTCTATAGGGTTTCTGTCATTTTACATTCCCACAAGCAAGGTGAAAGAGGGCCTATTTCCCTATAATCTCACCAATGGCACCTGTTGTCAATTTTTTTAACTTTTGCAAATTTAGTGGAGGGAAATTATATGCCGTTTTCTACCTCACTTGGAATTTTACTTGTTCAGTTCCCGAGTCCATTGGGAGAGTATTGGCTCCCAGAAGGTGGAACCATGTGGGGACCATCATTATCCTCAGCACCTAACACAGAACCTAGTGCTTAATGTAACTAACACAGAATGGGTATTCAATAACAAAAAAATCAAATAAACCAACTTAAAAATCGGCAAAGGACTTGAATCGACATTTCTCCAAAATTAATATACAAATGGCCAAGACGCATGTGAAAAGATGTTCAGCATCACTAATTATCAGAGAAATGCAAATCAAACCCACAGTGAGATACCACCTCACACCCATGTGGATGATGGCAACAAACCACACAAAACAACTACTCTGTTGGTGAAGATGGAGAGAAATTGGAACTCATGTGCATTGTTGGTGGGATTATAAGCACTTCCTTTAACAAGTGTTAAGAAAAACAGTATAGTAGTTCCACAAAAAATTAAAAATGTAACTACCATATGACCCAGCAATCACACTTCCGGGTATATATTCAAGCAGATTTTGGTTTTTTTTGTTTTGTTTTGTTTTTTATGTTTTTTTGAGATGGAGTTTCGCCCTTGTTACCCAGGCTGGAGTGCAATGGCACGATCTCGGCTCACCGCAACCTCCGCCTCCTGGGTTCAGGCAATTCCCCTGCCTCAGCCTCCTGAGTAGCTGGGATTACAGGCTTGAGCCACCGCGCCCGGCCTGAAAGCAGGTTCTTAAAGAATTACTTGTACACCCATCTTCACGGCAGCGCTACTCACAATAGTGAAGAGGTAGAATAACCCAAATGTCCACCAACAGATGAAAGGATAAGCAAAATGTAGCATACCCATGGTACGCTACACTGGTATATTATTCAGCCTTAAAAAGAAAAGGGGATCTGTTAGCCCAGGAGCTCGCGATTACGGTGAGCTATGATCACACCACTGCACTTCAGCCTGAGCAACAAAGAGAGACCCTATCTCCAAAAAAACAACAACAAAAAGGAATAAAATTCCAATACATGCTACAACGCAGATAGACCTTGAGGACATTCTTAAGTTCAATAAGCCAGTCACAAAAAGACAAATACTGTATGATTCGACTTATATGAGGTATCCAAAGTCATCAAATTCATAGAAACAAAAAATATGCTGGTGGTTACTGGGGTCGCAGAGAAGGGGATAAAGGAAGTTGTTGCTTAATAAGTGTAGAGTTTTAGATTTGCAAGATGAGACTGCTCAGTAGATCTCTTTTACAACAATGTGTGTAACGCTTAACAGAACTGTGCACTTAAAAGCAGCAAAAATGGTAAACTAAAGGATTTTTTATCAGAGTTTTTTGAATTAAAAAAACCATAGGATCTTGACCGGGCATGGTGGTTCACACCTGTAATCCCAGCACTTTGGGTGGCTGAGGCAGGCAGATCACCTGAGGTCAGGAGTTCGAGACCTCAATAAAGATTTGGCAGACGATTAAACCAATGAATGAATGAACGAACAAGTGAGTTATTGGAAATGTCAGCAACTAGGCCTCTCTGCCTGCCAGGATGCCTCCCTCACATCTGGAGTGGTATTTTTTCCATACCATCCCTGGGGGACAAATTCCCCTGACACCTGATCCCCCCCTGCTTATGCTCTCCTTGTTTCCATTCCCAACAGGGAGGTGCCCAGATCAGCCTGGCGGAGGTCTGCCGGTCTGGGGAGAGGTCGACTCGCTGGTACAACCTCCTCAGCTACAAATACTTGAAGAAACAGAGCAGGGAGCCCAAGCCAGTGGGAGCCACGGCCCCCACCCCAGGGCCTGCAAGCACGGTGAGCTGGGACCAGGGACACCACCCTCCCACAAGGCAGCACCTAGATGTCGGAAGGGAAGGCCTCTCCCAGAACTGGAGGTGGTTGGGCATCACGAGAGGAGAAAAATGGAGTGGAGGAAGTAGGAGAATAGAACAGGGAAGGAGAGATCTCCACTAAGGGGCAGGCAGCTCCCCTTCCGGAACTTGCTTCCAAAGCTGTGCTTCCTCCTTCTGTCCTTTGCTCTACCTAATACCACTTGGCTGATGAAAACCTTAATTCATGATTTTTTACAAACCAAATGGATAAGGAGGGAGAAAACTGGAAGGTAAAAGATTAACCTTTCTTGAGCCCCTACTTTGTTCAAGGCCCAGCGTGGAGGCTTTTATAAGAGGCAGCAGGAAGTCATGGGAAGACAGTGGACTAGGTCAGTCATATCCCTTCTCTGAACCTCCATCTTTTAATGTCTAATAAGAGCCTTAAAAAGTTGTTATGAGAATGGGCCTGGTGCCTCATACCTGTAATCCCAGCACTTTGGGAGGCTGAGGCAGGCAGATCACCTAAGATCAGGAGTTCGAGACCAGCCTGGCCAACATGGTGAAACCCTGTCTCTACTAAAACTGTAAAAATTAGCTGAGCTTGGTGGCAGTTGTCTGTAATCCTAGTTACTAGGGAGGCTGAGGCAGGAGAATTGCTTAAACCTGGGAGGCAGAGGTTGCAGTGAGCCAAGATGGCACCATTGCACTCCAGCCT